ATGCGGATGGTAGGTTGTGGGGCAGAGTGCCGAATATAAAGTGTGTTTGGTGGGTGGAATGGCTGACTGGGTGTGGTGTGTGAGCGTGTCCGGGGTGGGTTTGGGAGTGTGCGTGGGGGTGTGGGTGGGAGTGAGATAGGGTTAGTGGAAGTTTGGTACCAGGGCCGCCGGCCCCTCTGACAGAGTGTGTGGGCTGTGCGTGGTAGAGGGTGAACTGTGGGTTCTGGGAATGTTGGGAGAGAGGAGAAAGGGGCAGGGGACATCCCACCACCATGTTGGCGTAACGACCCGGAAGTCCATGCTGGGAGAGCTGGGAGAGATGGGCCAGCTGCGGGTGCTGAGCGAGTGGTGGGCCAAGCGGTGGACGACAGGGTACTGGGCCTCTCTGTATAGTATGAGGGGGCACACCTTGCAAAGGAGGAGGGACAGCTTGGACGTGGTAGCGATGGTGATGGTAGTAAGGTGGTGGGGGCTGCACGGTGCTCGCGTGACAGTACTGTGCGTGCAGCGCCTGGATCTTGGAAGGCCCCCCGTCCAACTGGCACAGAGGTGAAGGGGAGTGAGGAGGGGGCCCTCCCGTAGTCGGTGGGGGGACAGGTGCGGGGTAAGGTGGCCCCGGTGGAATAAGGGGCCCTGGTGGTTTGGCACGTTTGCTGCCAAACAGGGAGCCCAGGAAGGAGCTGCTGTTGTTGTTGCTGCTCCCCCCAGGGGCACTCCCCGCTCCTGTTCTCTCTGCACTGCTGGAGACTCCCCCAACTCCTGTCCCAGCAGTGGTATGTTGCTGCCCCGGCCCACCCCCCACCCCCGTACCGGGGCTCTGAGTAGGGCGGTGTGGCCGGTAGGCTGCTGGAGATGAAGGTACCATCATGGGGCTGTAGGAAAGACCTCCAACAGGCAGGGGGCGCTGCTGGTGAGGCCGAGGACTGCTAATAATGGAACCCTGAGAGTAGGAGGGGGGAGGAGAAGAGACATTGAGAATAAAATACAGAACCAGACTAGGTTTTAGTAAAAGTTTTCAAATTGATTTTCTGCTATCCAGGTATCCATTGGTTTCATTTCAGTCACCACTGAAGATACACATAAAGATTTCTGCAGGTTTACACAAACAAGCATGTTGTGGATATTTGCAGGGAAACAATGCCTCATGCAGATGTGAGCACCAAGCACACTGGCTGTCTGATCCAAGAAGAGGTAAGTTTGAAATGGATTAAAAAAGATCATAAACATAATCAAAAGATGTACAAGAACAGAGGAAACAGTCTTCTGTGTGTGGTTGTGCACATGCAGAAGTCGGAGTAGTGTGCTTCACTTTTAACTCTGATGAAACATCACAGTACATTTACACGAATCAGACAATGCAGTCAGCAGGGTGTGTGACATGCTGCCGTAGCGTGCTGAGAGGTCGTGACATGCAAACTTTCAGCCCCACTCTATCCAAACTTACTTCAATAGTGCTGTCCAGTGACCCCACACTGTTCCTACGACCTCGCTTCCCTGTTTCCCAATCACAGTGAGGCAGAGTTAAATTTGTCCCCAAGAAATAATTACAACACATAACCTGTAACAACCACAAATTGTTCTTACATTTCTGTGTACAGAATAAACAGAAGAGATACAGGTACACACACTGAGCTTTACAGGTGTTTCCAGGTGTCCTCCTGAACTGTGACAGGGCCAGGCGAGCTGTTTCCCCTGCTTCAAGTCTGTATGCTAAGCTAAGCCAACCACGTCCTGATTCAGCTCCATGCTTAATGCACAGACAATGCATATTTCCCAAACTGATGATCTATTTCTTTAAGTATTTCCAAGGCTGGAATGTACATTTACTACATGTACTTCACTCAAATACACTTTGTTCTACTAGTTTGTATTAGTTTTTGTTACATTATACTCCTACTCCACTACATGTCAGAGGGGATAACTGTACTTTTTAGAGGTGCACTGTGTAAGATCTAGAAGGATTTATTAGCAGAAAGAGGCTATAGTACACGTAATTATGTTTCTGTTAATGTGTGATCACCAGACAAAAAGAATCATTGTGTTTTCTTTAGCTTAGAACCCTAGAATTTGAACAAATGTTATACTTTGTCCTACATTTACAGTAATCACTGTGAAATGGCAGTGAGGGCTGTTTAACACAAGGTATGAGAGCTTTGCTGAATGTTGCAGTCTGCTGCCTCACCACTAGATGTCACTAAATCTCACACACTGCACCTTAACCCCATGTGTTTGTGTGAAAGCTTTACAACTTTGGATAAGGATAATAATCCTTAAGGATAAGGATAACCACCTTTATTGGCCAAGTATGTTACACACAAGGAAATTGTTTCCGGTACAGGACTGATGGCAGCCATCTGCGGCGCCACCTCAACCGACAGCTCTAACCATTGGGGGCAACGGGGGGGGTTCAGTGTCTTGCCCAAGGACACTTTGACACGTGGACTGCCGGCACTGAGATTCGAACCTTCAAACTTCTGGTTGTGAGACGACCGCTCCACCACCGCACCAGTGTCGACCCCCAGCGGCAGATATGCAGATATAGACTTTACACACATCATGAACATGATGCAATACCTCATTGGAAAATACATGCCATTTGAAATATTGCTTAAATAAAGGTTTATAAGCATAATCTGGATGTACTTAAAGTTCTCAATGCAGAAAAATGGCCCTGTGACTGTTATACTCTAATACATCATTAGGTTATTATTACTCATGAACTGATGTGTAAGCAGCATTTTACTGATGTTTCTGGTTGAGCTAGAGCTAATTTCTTACTATTTTATATAGGACTGTAATGATTAATTTTGTTATGGATTCATTTACTGGTCATTTTCTTGATTAACTGATTGATTGTTTAGTTTGTAAACAATTAGAAAACTGAGAAATGCCATCACAACTATCCAGAGCCCAGAGTTAAAATTTCAGAAGGCTTCTTTTGTCCAAACCTACTAAAAATAAATGAGAATAATGGGTAAAGCAACACATTCTCACAATTAAGAATCCGGAACCACGTTTGGCATGAAACAAAACAATTAGCAAAATGGTTAAACCAGTAAGTTTTCTCTGAATCAATTAATTTTGAACAAACATCATAGTTTATAAGCACTTAATATGTTTTGTATGTGCAACCTAATGACTACAGCTGTCAGACAAGTGTCATGTAGTAAAACATACAATATTTACCTCTGAAATGTAGTAGAGCAGAAGTACAAAGTAACATAAGAAGAAAATACTCATGTACTTTAAATTTGTAATTAAGCAGAGTACTTGAGTATTTACAACATACAGTGGGTACGGAAAGTATTCAGATCCCCTTAAATTTTTCACTCTGTTATATTGCAGCCATATGCTAAAATCATTTAAGTTCATTTTTTTCCTCATTAATGTACACACAGCACCCCATATTGACAGAAAAACACAGAATGTTTGACATTTTTGCAGATTTATTAAAAAAGAAAAACTGAAATATCACATGGTCATAAGTATTCAGACCCTTTGCTGTGACACTCGTATATTTAACTTAGGTGCTGTCCATTTCTTCTGATCATCCCAGAGATGGTTCTACACCTTCATTTGAGTCCAGCTGTGTTTGATTATACTGATTGGACGTGATTAGGAAAAGCCACACACCTGTCTATATAAGACCCTACAGCTCACAGTGCATGTCAGAGCAAATGAGAATCATGAAGTCAAAGGAACTGCCTGAAGAGCTCAGAGACAGAATTGTGGCAAGGCACAGATCTGGCCAAGGTTACAAAAAAATTTCTGCTGCACTTAAGGTTCCTAAGAGCACAGTGGCCTCCATAATCCTTAAATGGAAGACGTTTAGGACGACCAGAACCCTTCCTAGAGCTGGCCATCCGGCCAAACTGAGCTATCGGGGGAGAAGAGCCTCGGTGAGAGAGGTACAGAAGAACCCAAAGATGACTGTGGCTGAGCTCCAGAGATGCAGTCAGGAGATGGGAGAAAGTTGTAGAAAGTCAAAGAAAGTCAACCATCACTGCAGCCCTCCACCAGT